TGAAGAAGAAGAACAAAGTAGGAGGCCTCACACTGTTGGATCTCAAAACCTACTATATAGCCACAGTAGTCAAAACTGCCTGGTATTGGTATAATGACAGACACACAGACCAGTGGAACAGAATTGAGAACCCAGAAACAGATCCATCAACCTATGGTCAGCTGGTCTTTTGACAAAGGGCCAAAATACATTAAATGGGGAAGAGAATGTTTAATAAATGGTACTAGCAAAACTGGATATCCATCTGCAGAAAAATGAAACAAAATCTGTACCTCATAATACACAAAAAATCCAGATGGATCAAAGACTTAAATGTGAAACTTAAAACTATAGAGTTCCTCAAGGAAAAACTAGGGGCAAATTTAGGGGCCCGAATATATATAGACTATCAAGCATAACCCAAAATGCACAAACAGCAGAAGAGAAACTAGATGAATGGGACCTTCTAAAAATTAAATTTTTATGTGCTTCCAAAGACTTTCCAAAAGAATCAAAAGAGAACCTACAGATTGGGAAAAAATAATTGACAATGACATATCTGACAAAGGATTTAACTCTAGAATTTATAGAAAACTCCAACACCTCAATAACAAAGACAATCCAACTAAAAAAAGGGCAGAAGACATGAATAGATACTTCCAAACAGGATATTCAAGCGGCCAACAAACACATGAAGAAATGCTCATGATCATTAGCCATTAGAGAGATGCAAATCAAAACAACAATGATATACCATCTTGCCTCAGCATTAGTAGCAAAGTTCAACAAGACAGAAAATAACATATGCTGGCAAGGATGCAGACTGGGACTCTCATACACTGCTGGTGGGACTGTAAAATGGTACAACCACTGTGGAAAGCAGTATGGAGATTCCTTAAAAAGTTGGAACTAGAAATACTATTTGACCCAGCCATTCCATTACTAGGTATATATCATAAAGAAGTGAGAGCTAGGACAACAGACATATGCACACCCATGTTCATCGCAGCACTATTTACAATAGTCAAAAGATGGAAACAACCTAGGTGTCCATCAACTAAAGAATGAATAACCAAACTATGGTACATACACACAATGGAATACTATGCAACTCTAAAGAATAAAGTAGAATCTGCAAAACACTGTTTAATGTGCATGAACTTGGAGAACATTATGCTGAGTGAAATAAGTCAATCACAAAAGGACAAATATTGTATTAGTCCATTATGGTAAAAAGTCAAGGAAAGGTTTATACATGGAAGGAAATTTCTTTGTTCGTTACCAGGGATGGGAAGGGAGGGGAGGGAACACTGTTAGATAGGTAGAGACAAGTATTGATGTGGGTGAAGAGAAGGGCAATGTACCAAATATGAGTGATCAACATGGTGGCATTGAGGAAGAGGAAGATATAGAGAGGTGCATGGGAGGTATAGACAACAAAGATGAATGCTTTTGCACATACAGTACTGTGTTGTCAGTGAAGGCAAACATGGATACACGTGTGGATAGATGGTGGACAGGCTGAACTATATATATGTCTATGTAGTGGGTGTGTGCCCAAGACCATGTATAGGGTTGGCAGATAATGTTTCTACAAGTGTATTGCTATGTTCCGTAAGAATTCCCAGGTATAGTAGAGCTGACAAGGGACAAGGTTGTAGTCACTTCTTGGACACAGCCAGCTACCTACAGAGAGCAAGTAGCTGGACCTGTGGGCTCAGGACCATAGTCACAGGGGACATCAAGCTCAAATGGCATAACATACTACACAAAACATTGTTCCACCTCCTACTTTGGTGAGTAGTGACTGGAATCTTAAAAGCTTGCAAGTGGCCATCTAGATGCAACAATGGGTCTCTCCTCATCCAGAGCAAAGAAGAATGAAGAAAACAAAAGATTCATGGAAACAATTAGTCCAAGTGACTGGTACACCATGCAATAATACTCAGCCTATACGACTAGGAGACCAGAAGAACTAGATGGTGCCCGGCTACCACTGTCAACCACTCAGAGTGGGATCTATGTAGGAGATCCTACATAGAGAGGGAGAACAATGTGAAACAAAACTCAAAATCATTTGGAAAAAAAAAGGGACCAGGTTTGCTGGTCTGATAGAGCCTGATGGAATCACTGAGACTATGGCTCCCAGCTGCCCTTCAGGTCTGGAATTGAATCCACTCCTGTGGCTTCCATCCAAACAAAAGACAGGCATATGAGCTGAACATTTACACTAGGTAGATACACTCCTTGGAGAAAACAATCATGGGAGAAGGGCTGTGTATGCACAGGGACATAGCTCAGGGGGCAGGGGTGCATGGAGGGAAGGACACAGGGAAGGTAACTATGGGGCGGAAGTGGGAGGGGAGCTGCTGCATTGTGGTAAATTGTAGTCAATGTCATAAGACAAAGTGTATGTGAATTGCCATATGGAAAGTGAATTTGCTTTGTAAACTTTCACCCACATGACAATTAAAAAAAAAAAGTCACTATGCACAGTGTAAGAGAAAAAGTGTATTCAGTATGTCTTTTGTATATCTTTTTTTTGTCTAATATATTACATCTTCAACAGTACTGCATGACTTTAAATACTTTTATATTTATTTTCAGGTTTCTCTCTTCCCTGTTTTCTGTCCCCTTATCCGTCTTGTTCCCAACATCAATCCCACCCCTCATACACAAGCACTTATGCTTTCACGTACTCTGACCAGAAGACCAAAAACACTAAGCCCACTGCCATCAAATAGATTCCAATTCATGGTGGCCTATGTGTCATTGAACAGAACTTTGCCATGGGATTTTCTTATTTGTAATCTTTACAGAAGCAGTTTTCCAGGCCTTTCTTGCATGGAGCCACTGGGTGCTTCTGAACAGCAATCTTTTGGGCTAGCAACAAAGCTTGTTAAGCATTTGTACCATCCAGGGTCAAATATCTGTGCAGTCCCTTCCAATTTATGATAATGTTCTAACATTTCATACTTTTAGATTATTTCACATAGTCTAAATATGATTAAGGCTAACAAACCTAAAAAATTAGCAAAGTTCTACTGATTGACTTTGTCAATGTTATTATTTCAACAAAGCTAACAGAATCCAAATGAAAAGCTGAGGTATCAAATATAATAGTTCTTTTAATCTCTAAAAGTATTCAGTTGTACATAAAAATACCTGCTTGATATAAATTCCATTCCTAGAGAATAGATCCACCAACTCTGGATGATGCTTGCTATTTTGGCTTCCATGACCCAGGGTGAAATTGGTATTATCTCCCCAAGTATAGACGTCTGTAGGATCTAAAATGAAAATAAGTTTTTATACTCCTTTAATATTGTTAAGCAAATATTAATTAATTTCAATTACAGATGCAATCTACTGATCAGTTTAGCTAAAACATGCTTTACAGGAATTAATTTAACTATATTCAAAAAGCTGATGTCAAGACTCTTAAAAATTAATATATGAATTATGAGTCCATTAATATATAATTCTAAGAACAAATATCAGAAAATCAAAATCACAATACAGGCCTGTCTCAATATAAGCAATCTAACATCTGTTCCTTGTTTCTTTAGCAGCCAAATGAGTAAAATATCACCTGTTATACCTACTTAATTTCAATGAAAGTTATAATCCATGTAGTTGTTTTAAATATAAGATGTTGTGAGTATATTTGTTTCTAAATGAAACAAATATTACATTATTCACTATTCCTACATAAATACTAATTTTCAATAATTTTCTCTTGATAGATGTAAAATTACACTACTGACTAGTAGGGTAATACTTGATTAAACTGGGATAAAGTCTAATTATGGCTAAGTTTATGATATGAACTTTCATTTTTATTTTGGAATGCTGATGAAGCTCTAGAATGGAACTGCAACTGTTACGTGCAATGTGGTGTCCAAGGTAGAAATAAAAATGGAGAACGTTTATTTAGCTGGCTCCTTAATTAAAAGTGAATTACACAGTGCACATTTCAACCTCTTCTTTTTCCTCCAATTGCCTCTTCCAGAGGTTAATGGGCAAACACGTTGGAGGGACAAGTGAAATTAGAATGTGGGAGCAGAACAATCATTTCCATTCTTTTTTCTCTCTATCTCAAATGTTGGTATTACTTTCTGGCTGCAAATAATTATTTTACAGTAGTTATAATTCTAACTACCTTTCCACTTTAGGTTGTATTTTTACGCTTACAAACATAAATGTGAATTGAAAAATGTAAAATAAAAGTGTTTGAAACATCAAACCAAAAACATCAACCAACATATCATATATCCATACACAAATAAATCTTTTCAAGTATTATAAAAAGAATAAAATTTCATTAAAATTTTCTAAGCTGTACCTTAACAGAATATATGTGTGCAATTTTCTTACCAGTATTCTTGAATATTACGTGAGTTGGTCTATCTTTCATTACAAGATCCAAAGCTGACAAACCTTCTTTATCTTGAATATATAGACTAACACCATGCTAAAAAAAAAAATCAATTTACCTGTAATCAGTAATTTCTTACTATTATATATCAAAAAATCAGATGCTCAAGTCTATAAATACAAAGAAAAAGAAACAATAACAATCACCATTTTTTTCTCAGATACATAAATGACTAAGAAAAATCAAATATCCAATTCTTGGGAGAATAAGGAAGAACCAGAAAATATAAAGAAATAAAATAAACCACATCTAATATCAAGATGAATTGGATGTGAAGGGCCTGTAAGGCAGGTCCTATTGCCTAGAAGGCTAAAGGCCTATGTCTGTGACTTCTTATATTTTAAGAGTCATACCTCATGTCTTCACAGGTAAGGCCTGTAAAGATTTCAAGGCACTGGCAGAACAAACCTCATATTAGGATTGGCTCTTTATAAATATGATGCGATCATCTGTGCTCTATTTCTTTTTTGCCTTTAATTCTATTATATCTATTACTAAGAAAATCATATTCTTTAATTTTGATTTGTATAATTTTTTGTCCTACCTTTCTACTTTTAAATTGTTTTACAGTACTGTTTAAATGTTATCTCTTGAAAGTCACATATAACTAGAATCTATCCAAAAAAAAATCTGGGGTATGCATGTGAGTGCACACACGTTTCTAAGAAGCAATTTAAGGTAACATGCAGTCTTTTATCTCCACAATTCTAACTCAAACATGAATTGGAACAGTTTCTGTCCCACTTATTTAAGCAGTTTGCATACCTCATCCCTATTATTATACTTTAAAAAAAAAAAAAACTCTAATATGGGAGTAGGGAGATAGAGAGCGACGTCCAATTCATGCTATTTTTACCTCATCCCACTCTTTAAAATATAAAATGTACTCCTTTTCAAGAAAACTTTTAATGTTTGATGTCAAATATTGTAAGACTGTCAACAGTTACTTAGACTAATTTCTATTTAAAGGAGCTCTAGTGGCACAGTACATAAAGCATTCAACTGCTAACTGGAAGACTGGTAGTTCAAATCCACCAGCAGCTCTGCAGGAGGAAGATGACGCAATGTACTTCTGTGAAGATTTACCTTCTTGGAAACCCAATGAGGGTCACTATAAGTCAAAATCAACTTGACAGCAATGGGTTTAGTTTGATTTGGGTGTGTCCATTTAAACTAGTGTGAGTCATCCCTGCCTGTCCACACAGTTTACTGAGATAGTTAGTTATAGGCCAAGATGAACCATGAAGTTTTTAAACTCTAACGGGAGCTGGTAGCACAGTGCCTAAGGCATTGGCTGCTAACCAGAAGGCTGGCAGTTCAAACCCACCAGCCACTCCTCAAGAGGAAGGTTGGGCAATGTACTTCCATAACGATACTGCCTCAGAAACCCAAGGAGGGGTCGCTATGAGTCAGATCCGACTCGACAGCAGTAGGCTAGGCTAGGCTAGGCTAATGGTGGTAAGTTGAAATATTCTGTTTAGAATTGCTTAAAAAAGAATCTCCCGTTTACCCTCACAACATCAAATTTCTAAAAATGTAAGACCAATTCTAACTGCACTGTGTTCTAGATGGTTATAATACTTGTTTTCCAAAGCTGTCAATTAAAAGAATAGTCTCAAGTTAGTGAGCTAACAGTTAAACAAAAAAGAGAAGTGATCACCAAAGATCTTATTCAATTTAAAATTATTCCCCCTGTCCACTACTTTCAAAAATGTCAGGCATAATCAATTCATGTGGGAGGACCTAAACTGATCTTTTATAAAGAAGGGTAGATTCAGGGGTGGAGTGTCCTAAGCTATGAATTTGACAAATGAGATCCTAGAAGTATCAATCCCTAGAGACTTTATTTTGCTCTAAATTTTATATAAGCCAACCGAAACCAGTGGCATACATATATTTCCATCATCCTAAGCAATACCAATCGCATAAAGGACTTAGGACAATTTTTGTCTTCAAAGCCCTCTAGTTATGATAGGCTCTGATGCTTTCTAATGTTTATCTTACTCTCTAAAGATAATAGACCAATGTATAGTATATCCTGTTTATTTAAAGACCAACTCTTCACACATCCCCAAAATAGTAAGTAAATTCATTAGCTTACCAAATAACTAAAAACCAAATCCACTGCCACTGGGTTGATCCAGACTCAGAGCAACACTAGAAGACAGAGTAGAACTATACTACACAGTTTTCAAGCCTGTAAATCTTTACAGAAGGAGACTACCTCATCTTTCTCCCACAGAGCGGCTGGTGAATTTGAACCACTGACCTTTTTGTTAGAAGCCAAATGCCTAAACTACTGAGTCACCAGAGCTCCTTAGCTTAGTAAAATAGCATTTAAAAATATATGAGGTTTATAACCATAGGCATCTCAAACCAATGAACAGCAACAAGAAATAAATGGACTGTAGACACAACTATTCCAGTATAACCACCACCCATCTGTAAGTATGTTATACTGCAGGGGCTTGCATGCTGCTATGATGCTGGAAGCTATGTCACCGATAACTTCATATACCAGCAGGGTTACCCATTATGAACAGATTTCATGACAGCTTCCAGACTAAGAGACTAGGAAGAAAGCCTTGGTGATCTGCTTCTGAAAATCAGTCAATGAAATCTTATGGATCACAAGATAACACTGTTCGACTCGCTTGCTTTGAACACTGGTTCAAACCACTGGTAATACTATTGGAAATGTTTGTCAGGAATACTGAAAGTGTTTTTGAACTGTCTTCCCCAAAATCAGAGCCTAAGATAAAGATCTGCATGCTAGAAAGCAGTAGCAAGGGATCAGGGAAGTAAATCAAGAAAGGAGGAAAAATTAATTCAAAGATATGTTACTGAGTAGGTTATGATGGAGACTGGTACATTATCTTGCCAGGATGTTCTGGCAGCCTTCTGAAATATACAACAATAATTGCTCAAGCAAAAGATAAAACAGGGAAATATTTACCACTGGTTTCCATTAGCCATTAGTCAAGCCTCTCTACAGAGGCTTTACTCTCCTGTGCTTTTAGGTTGTCATGCATGAGTGCCAAGCCCAGGGATGAAAATAAAAGGCATTCAGTACAAACCTACAATAATGTACAGAGTACATGTACATAAAGCTGCTAGAAGCCTGTGTGGAACTGCTCACAACTGTGGCTGGAATAAGAGATGAAGGTAAGTATATGACACATTGATCTTTCCAAACTAGTTATGAGCTAAACTCAATGAATTTAATGTAGTTCTCTGCTATTGGTGCCCATAATAATGGCAAGAAAGTCAGGATCAAAAGACCTTGAGATCACATAATTTCCAATAGGTAAGAATAGGGATGTATTCTATGCTCCTTCTTTCAAGCTATAATAGTACTTTTTGATACACAAGCTAGATGCCCTCCTACTAGAGATGAAAGTACGATTTGTATGTTCTTATATTCAAATGACATGGTTTTAACATTATAAACTAAGAAAATTAGCTAGAGTTTTAATAGACAACTAGTCCAGTTATATAATTATCACCCCCACCCAGGATGGGAGAACTTCAGATAAATATTCTATAACCTTAATTTTAAATGATTTATAGCTATTTACCAAAAAGTATATCATTTAATATCTAAAGGATGCATTCCGAGATTCACTTATCTTGGACTCTGCAATATGAAACTGTATTGCTTAATCGTTCTAGTTATATATCTATATGGTAGAGATATTTACAATCTTTTTGTTCAAAACTTTCCCCAGGCCAGACATCAAGCTCAATTGGCATAGCATATTACACAAAAACATTGTTCCACATCCTACTTTGGTGAGTAGCAACTGGGATTTTAAAAGCTTGCACGCGGCCATCTAGATGCAATGATAGGTCTCTCCTCATGCAGAGCAAAGAAAGAAGAAAACCAAAGACGCATGGAAACAATTAGCCCGAGGGACTGGTACACCATGAGATCTTCAGCCTATATGACTATGAGACCAGAAGAACTAGATGGTACCCAGCTACCACTCTCAAATGCTTGGAGGTGGATCTATGTAGGAGATCCTGGGTAGAGTGGGAGAACAATGTGGAACAAAACTCAAATTCATAAAAACAAAACAGGGGGCAGGTTTGCTAGTCTGATAGAGATTGGTGGAACCTCTGAAACTATGGCCCCTAGCTGCCCTTCAGGTCTGGAATTGAACCTACTCCTGTGGCTTCCAGCCAAACAAAAGACAGGCATATGAACTGAACATCTGCATTACGAAGATAACATTCCTTGGACAGATCCATCATGGGAGAACAGAAGGGCTGTGTACGCACAGGGAGATGGCTGAGGGGAGAAGGGAGTGCATGTGAGGGAAGGACACAGGGAAGAGGTGGCTATGGGGAGGAAGTGGGAGGGCAGTTGTTGCACTGTAGGAGATTACAGTCAATGTCATGAGGCAAAGTATATGTGAATTGCTGTATGGAAGATGAATTTGCTCTGTAAACTTTCACCCAAATCACAATAAAAAATTTAAAACAATAAATAAATTTCCCCAGGCCAAACTCAAAAAAAAAAATGATATAATTACTAAAACTTAATACTATAGAACATAACCAACAGTAGCAGTCATTTGCTTTTCCTTTTCCTTTTTTTATTGGACTTCTACCATGCATCTTCCCTTCCTAACAACACCCAGAATCTTTTGGCACTCACCCAGAATCTTTTGGCACTCAGCTTTGGAAAAAACACAATTTAAGCAAGACATGGACCTATAATCCAAGGCTAATCAATTGAAAGCTTGCTTTCAGAAATCTTGAATTTTGTAGATTAATGTAAGAATCAAGCAGAGATGAAGATTGGGGATGAGAGGGCATGCAAAATAGTTCAAGTCTTCTTGATAGAAGTTAGGTTGTTTTAGTTTGAGGAGTTTCATCTGTTTATAATTTGACAGTTAATTGAGTTATTCTGTTTCCTCACATCATTCTCTATTCTACAAGGTATCTGATAGCCCTAAAATATTTGCTTATGTTACCACAGTTGGTTTCTGTTGTGTGCAAAAAGAACACTAATATACCAACATTTATTAAGCACCTTCTTAATTTGTTCAGGAGCTCTGATGGAGTAGTACCTTAGGCATTTCACTGCTAACCAGAAGGCTGACGGTTCAAATACACCAGCCACTCCTTGGAAGGAAGACTGGGCAATCTACTTCTGCAGAGATTCCACCTTGGAAACCCAAGAAGGGGTCACTATGAGTGAGGACCAACCTGGCAGCAGTGAGTTTGTTTTTATTTGTTTATTGAATTATCTGGTTTTGGTCTTTTTCACCCTACTAGAATGAAAAAAAAACAAAGAAAAAAAAGGGCTCTTGTCTGTCTTGTTCACTGCAATATCCCTAGCATCTAGATCATTGCCTGTCACATAGCAGGTACTCAAAAAAAATTTGTTCTAAATACTTTACATACAGTATACCATTTAATAGGTACAACCTTATGATTGGTATACCATTTAATCCACACAACTTTATGATTAGTATATATAATTTAATCTACCTCTTATGATTCTATAAATTCTTCCATTTACAAATGGGAAAAATTAGAAGTAAACCCTCAATACAGCAACAAGACAAAACAGGACCCTATAAGCACAGTCTTTACCAGTATTGCATCTCATCATGGAACCAAGAAGCTAGAGAAAATCTACACAAGATATATTGTCTCTACTTCAGCTTTTTGTAGATACCAAGTTTCTGATAAGGTTATATCATTCACAATTGGGAACAGACAGTGTAAAAAAAAATTTTTTTTGTATAATTTATTTTAGTATTTAATTACAAAATTTTATAGCTATGAAGTTTTTATCAAATACAAATTAATTTAAAATGTGCATGTGAATACAGTCTCTTCCTGCCAATCTATAATATTTGAAGTGGTATAGGTGATATCAGAAGTGAGATTGACATGAAGACTCCTATCACCATAGTCTTTCTAATTAAAGAAGTGTTGCAAGGACAATACTTTTTTAATTAGCCTTCCAACACATCGCTAATTAAGTTAGAAGTGTTGGAAAGAAATGATGTGCTGAACATATTCAGATAGCTTACAACATGAAAATACGTAATGGTTGAAAGGGGTTTTTACGGGTATATATGCCGATCAGTAGGGCTCAGATGCAAATAAATGATAGTCAAGCCAAGGGCAAGATGATCCATGGCATGATTTCCTAGCTTCTCTTAGAGGTTATCTTGGTGAGGATAATGGAGGATCTCTAAATAAAAATGAAACATCAAAGGGAGGGAAGATCCCAAATTCAAGTCAGACCACAACTATTTCAAAATTGAAGCCCCAAATCCTGACACTTAAATGGCAACCCCTCAGATAAAAGAAAACACAGAACCCTCTTAAGTACTGCAGGATTGGCAATCATTTAATTTTCCAAAGAAACCTGAAGATGTCAAGGTTTTAGAGGTGGGAAAAAGTAAGAATAGGGCAGCTAGATGCTTTAATTCTTATTATCCTAACTGCCCTATAAAGACAAAAGAGGTTATTAGAAGGGAATTAAGAAGACACTAAAAGGTCATAGATATAAAAGTACTATTAATAAACTTATGATAAGTTTTTTCTTCACAGACCCTCCCTTGGAAAAAAAAAAAAAAAAGAGAGAAAAGTACTATTACTATCTTCATTTTACAGATGAAAACCAAGGTTTAAGATTCAATAACTTGTCCAAGATGACTCAGTCGTAAATCTAGGCAGTTTAGTTCCAATAAAGGACATTTTTTTACTATTCATACATAATGAAAATTACTTTAATTAGTAAATGTTACTATATAAAGAGTGCTATATAAGTAACATTTTAAAAGTCAAAAACAGAGGAAGACATTGAATATAAGTTCCCCAATTTGACTACAAGTTCCTTGAGGACAGGAACTATTTTGTTGTTTGGGTCCTCTACAAATCATTCAGAATGCCTATTAAAAAATAAGGCTGTTAAATTTAAATTTCATAACTAATAGTGAGTTTTTAATTTGTATACATTAGTCAAATGACATAGGTACTTATCTCAAAACACTATATTATATTCAGTATAAGACTTAAGCTGATTATAAACATCATATTTTTGTTTTTCCTTTTTAAGAACTACACTTTATCCTAGCCAAACAAGAAGCGAATATAATAATCAAATCACAGGTTTTAGGTAATGGTCAATAACATTTTAAAGTAGTTAATAATATAGTTATTTAAAAGTAAATCATAAAAACCAAACAGTACTGATTAAGTGTCTGGAAGTTGCTTCAAAATAATAAGGGATGGAGGAAAAACTGAGGGTACTTTCATGTATGTTTAAAATTATATATCATAAAATGTTTAAGTAAAAAGTATATATGGGATTTTAACTCCAAGGATGAGCTACAGTAATAAAAGATATCAAACAAGTGATAACAACAAACTCAAATCCTTTTTGGAAAGTACGTGGGCCGTGTAAAAAAGATTAAGAAAACTATATGCTTTGGCCAGATACAGCTTTAATTAAACAAATGAACTTACCTTCAAAAGAGACCAAACACAGTCAATATGCCCATAAAAAATGCTTCTGTGCAAAGCTGTCCATCCTGACTCCTTGTCTTTCACCAAGGGATCCACTCCTTTCTCAATAAGCCAATCTAGCACTCCTTTCTTTCCACAGGAGGAAATCAGGTGGAGGGCATTTCTGCCAAAGGCATCCTTGATAGTTGCAGCATTGTAACAATGACTAGAGAGAAAAGCCTTAATCTGGCCTTCACTCCCCTTTGTCACTACAGAGAGGACATCTAAAGCATGCTTCAGGGATCGACATTTTGACGTACAGTCAGGGGCAGAATTCATCCTAATATTTTATATACTGTTTACTTCCTCAGAATAGTCAGTTAAGACAAACTTTTTTAAAAATGAAAATGTTAGGACCCAAAGGTATATTCAAGATGAATTACAGAGAATAAATTGCCTTTTGAGGATTATAATTTAAATCCTAAGGCAGCAGTATAAAACTATGTATCTTTGTACAATTTATTTTGGCACTTAAATCAAAAAAATTATAAACAGCTCTTTTATAAAGTCTGTATCAAATTTATTTTTTAAAAAACTTTCCACAGTTTATAAATTATTCCTAGAGTCAAGCACCAAGGGGGAGTGAGGAGGGGAACTCCCCCTCCACACTGTGTGATCCTTTTAAATATCCATAATTGCAAGGGTGACCTGTAAGGGAAGAAGAAAGAGAGAAAAAAGAAAGTAATGTAGGTATCCATCTCGTAAAGAAAACCCCAGTAACCAGTTTCATACCTAACATAATTTTATTCTAGTGTTCTTTTCTCAAAATGCTTACAAATACCCAGTTCTACAAACTGCTCCATGAACTAGTTTTCCCAAACAATGTTAACTTCATTAATGAGTAATAAATTCCTGACATGAGTTCATGCAAAAGAGAAAGAAAACAGTACAAAAAACTCTCTCTCACTCTCCTCAAGTCTTAAGGTTGGTGGTTCAAACTCACCAGCCACTCCACGGAAGGAAGATGGAGCAATCTACTCCCATAAAGATTTACCACCTCAGAAACCTGACTGGGAATGCTATGAGTCAGAATCAATTCAATGGTTGTGGGTTTGGTTTTCTGGTTAATTCCTATCTTTAAAAAGTATTTTTCACCTTCATATCTATGATATCTATTGTGCTAGCAGAACTTCAAATCAGAGGTGTCAGGGACTGAGTTCACAGTAATGGATTAACTCAGAGTACTCTTGGGCAAACAAGGAAGGAGGAGAAACTATACAGTTGTTCTTTTTCTGCTAAGAATGTTTCAGGTAGCACATGGTATCAAAAAGTGCTTGGGCACCAGTCTTCAGGAATTATGTGATCAAATGAAAATGGAAAAACGACGGTCATGCTAGACTTTCTGTATAAAACTCCCTTCTGCCTCATGTTAAGTGCCTCATGTTAAGGTATTTTTACCTAGTGCTGCCCAGTTACAGCCTTTTTATTCCTTAATACAACTCTTTTTTGTTTATTCCTTACCCAAAAACCAAACCAAATCCACTGCCATCAAGTCGATTCTGACTCTTATCAACCTTGTAGGACAGAGTAGAACTGCCCCACAGCGTTTCCAAGTCTGTAAATGTACACAAAAGCTGACTGCTTCACCTTTCTCCTGTAGAGCAGCTGGCAGATTAGAATCTTCAAACTTTTGGTTAGTAGTCCAATGCTTTAACCATTGCACCACCTCTTTGACACTACATCTACATAAAACATCCTCACCACTAGTCTTGTTAAGTAGTTTGGTTAATCTCTGTGTCTGAATTTTGGAGACCACTTCTTTCCTTCCAAACAGTACTGATTCCTTCTTTCATTCCTTCTCTTCTCTACTTTCAGTCTACCAGTTATGTCCTCACAAGCTACACTTATATCTACTATCTTTATAGGAATCCCATCCCAAACCTTTGCCCCCTAAAACTACATCACCACCACTATCACCACCACTACCACCACAACAGTAATAATCAACATGCTTGTCGTTTACTTAGTTTTTAATTATGTTGAGGAATTTGCTTTCCATTCCTACTTTGTAGAGCATATTGATCAGGAATGGTTGTTGGATTTTGTCAAATACCTTTTCTGCATCAATTGATATGATCATGTGGTTCTTTTCCTTTGTTTTATTCACATGTGAATCACATTGATTGTTCTTTTATATGTTGAACCAATCTTGCATACCTAGTTTGAATCTTGGTCATAATGTATTATTCTTTTTATATGATGTTGGATTCTATTGGCTAGGATTTTGTTGGATTTTCTTCACTCTAGGAGTTCTGGTAGCATAGTGGCTAAGGTACTTGACTGTTAACCAGAAGGCTGGTGGTTCAAACCCACCAGCCACTCCTTGGAAGGAAGGTTGGGCAATCTACTTCTGTAGTGATACTGCCTCAGAAACCCAAGGAGAGGTCGCTGTGAGTCGAGTCCAACTCGACGGCACCTAACAACAACAACAACAACAACAACAACAGGATTTTGTTGAGAATTTTTATGTCTATGCTCATGAGGGATATTGGTCTATAACTTTTTTTTTTAGTAGTAGTGTCTTTGCCTGTCTTTGGTATCAGGGTTATGTTCACTCAATATAATGAATTTGAGAGTAATCTATCATTTCCTATGTTCTAGAATAATTTGAGTAGAATTGGGGCCAGCTCTTCTCTGAATGTTTGGGAGAATTCATAAGTGAACCCACCTGCAACAGGACTTTTTGTTGTTGTTGGGAGCTTTTTTGTGACCTACTCAATTTCTTCTTTTGTTAGGGGTCTGTTCAAATTTTCTACCTCAGTCTGTGTTAGTTAGCTAGGCAGTGCATGTCTAGAAATTTGCCCATTTCTCCTCGGTTTTCAAATTTGTTGGAGTATAGTTTTTCATAGTTTTGTGCTATTATCCTTTTTGTGTCAGTTGGTTCTGTTGTGATGTCACCCATTTCATTTCTTATTTGTGATATTTGTATCTTCTTTTCCTTTGTTAGATTTGCCAGTGGTTTGTAAATCTTACTAATTCTATCAAAGAATCAATTTCTAGTCTTGTTGATTCCTTCTATTGTTTTTGCTTGTTTGTTCATTTTCTATTTCATTTATTTCTGCTCTAATCTTTATTATTTCCCTTCTTCTGGTGACAGAGGGGTTTTTTTTAATTATTATTATTTCTTTTTCTAATTAGTGTTGTTGGGCTAAGCTGCTGCTTTTGATTTTTCCTATTTTATGATGTGTGCATTTATTGCTATAAATTCTCCTCTCAGCACTCCTTTTATTGTGTCCCAAAGCTTTTGGTATGCTGTGTTTTCATTCTTGTTTGATTCACAAGGAATTTTTTCTTTATTTCGTTTTTTATTTCCTCTGTGATCCAGTAAGGAGCTCTGGTGACATAGTGCCTAAAACATTTGAATGCTAACCAGAAGGCTTCCTCAAAAGGAAGACTGGGCAATCTACTTCTATAGAGATACTGCCACAAAAAACCCAAGGAGGGGTCACTATGAGTCAGAATCGACTCAATGGCAGTGAGCTTGGTTTTCTTTTTTAAATAACCCAGTAGTTTTTAAGCAGGGTGTTACTCAGTATTTAATTTTTCTACCTTGTTCTTATTATTTATTTTTAATTTTATAGGGCATGACATAAGAAGATGTTTTGAACAATTTTGATGTTTTTAAATTTATTAGGATCATATACCGTGGCCTAACATATGGTCTATTCTGAATAAATGACCCATGTGCACTGGAAAAGAATGTGTATTATGCTATTGTTGGGTAGAATGTTCTGCATACATCTGTCCCTTAAGCTGGGTTCTCCAGAGAAGCAAAACCAGTGAAGCTTACATATATGTAGCTAGAAAGAGAGAGAATTATCTCAAGGAAATGATTGACATAGTTGTACAAGCTTGCAAGTCTCAAGTCTGTGGGTCAGACATCAAGCTGAAGACTTCTCCTAACTCATGCAGCTGCAAGGGCAAATGAACCCAAGACTGGCAGGTTAGATGGCAAGCAGCTGGCTCATGGGCTGCGGAGGCTCATGAATCCAAGAACAGTAGGTAAACTGACATGCTGCTGACTGACAGGCTGCATAAGCTAACAAATTTCAAGGTCAACAGACAATATTGCAGGCTGCTTGGCTCAAGTCCAAAGACTTGGAAGTCAGATGATGAAAAGCCAGATGCAGGATTCAGACTGAGTAAAAGGGCAGAAAGCTTTGCCAGGCATCCATATATATTGAAAGCAAGCCACAACCCTGAGGAAAGTCCCTTTCAACTGACTAGCTTGCAGCAGACCTCATCATGGAAGTTATTACATTCTACCAGTTCTCATCATGGGGGATGACCATATCATAATGGCCAAACCACTGAGAATCATGGCCCAGCCAAGTTCACATACAACTTTAATCATCACAGTCTTTGAAGTCAAGTTGGTTGTGTGCATTGTTTAGATCTTCTGTGTCTTTGTTGAGTTTCTTTCTAGCTGTTTTGTCCTTTACCTAAAGTGGTATATTAAAGTCTCCTACTATTATTGGACAGTTGTCTATTTCTCTTTTTTTGTTCTGTTAGTTTGATTTTCTAATTTGGGGTTCTTTCACTGGTTGTATAGATATTTTTTATAGCTATGTCCTCTTGTTGGACTGAGCCTTTAATCATAATATAATGTCTTTCCTTGACTCTTAGGCTGGTTTTTGCCTTACAGTCTATTGTATCAAAAATTAATATTGTCACCCTGCTTCTTTTTGGTTACCCTTTTCTTGATATATGCTTTTCTATCCTTTGATTTTAGCTTATTTTTAATCTTTGTGTCCAAGGTGTACTTCTTATAGGCAGCACGTTTATGAGTAATGTTTTCTTATCCAATCTGTCACTTGCTATCTTTTGACTGGGGCATTTAATCCATTTACATTCAGTGTAATTATCAATAGGTACGAATTTTCTGTTGTCATTTTCTTGTTGCTGTTTACAGTGCTGATTTCTTCTGTATATTTTTCTGTGCTGAGTTTACTTTATGATTTTTCTTTTCATATTCTTCAGAGTAGCTGATTTTATGTTTACTGAGACTTTATAATTTTCTTCCTTTTTAATTAGATGATTTATTAATTTTGTTTGTAGTTACCCTGTAATTTATTAATATATCTTCCTAAGTTTAAAACTATCTGTTCTATCTTGATACCATCTTTGATGTGCTCTCCATCAGCAAGTTCTGTAACTACACCATTTATTTCCTCTTTTTTACTTTGTAGTTGTCATCATTTACAGATGAACATCTCTGGTTCCCTATTTTCAGTCTTGTAGGTTCATTTTATTTTTGAAAATTCTTTATCTGGGTTAGTTTCCAAATGATGTCATGCATCTTAATCTCAGGTTGTTGTATGACGTTGTTGGTTCTCTGTCCAAAGGAATCCCTTTAGCATTTCTTACCAAGTTGGTCTATTTTTTATACTTCACCAAAGAAGATGTATAGGCAGCCAACCAACACATGAAGAAATGCTCACGATCATTAGACATTAGAAAGATGCAAATAAAAACAACAAGATATCATCTCACCTCAGCAATAACAAAATTTAAAACAAAAATGCTGGCAAGAGTATATAAGATTGGAACTCTTCTTACATTGCTAATGGAATTGCAAAGTGGTACAACCACTGCAGAAAATAGTATGGTGTTTCCTTGAACAGCTGAAAACAGAATACCAAATGACA